GCATTTTTTGTAGATTTCTTTTGCCACTTCGCGATATCGGCGACGATTCTTAGGCACGACATGTTAACTTAGGTGAATTGTTTCCAGTGTTTAAGGTGCAACAGCATAAAAGCGATCCGACCCACTAGCGATTATTTAAATCAAAACCACTATAAAACTTGTCTGTTCATAATGGCTCTCTTTGTCATGGCAATGAATTTTGACAATAACAATGAAGATGCTAGGTGTAGTTTTTATGCATCTTCCCTTCATCTGTATGCCTTGATCACAGAGCTTCGACATCAGAGTCATGTGGAGTAGTAACAACAATGCCTTGAAGTAGGCTGCAAAAACTGCCTCAACATCAGCATTTTACAATGCATGTCCGCCACAGCACTGGCAGTCATGAAACCCGGTTCAACACATTCGTCAGCACCATCAAATACACCGGAAACACTGCTTTACAAAAACACAATGGTCTACCAATTCAACTACGTCATTTACCCCTGCAACTGTGCCAGTTGCAGGTTCGGTCATCCCAAATCCATTCTTAAGCCAACTTTCAAGCAAATTCATTGTGTGTACAGTCTCATTATTTTTACCGGATATACCGTTCAGTATAAGAATCGGGCATACAAAGTGACATGTTGTTTGCGCTGTTATTGCAGTAAAGTCATTTCCATGATGATTGTTGGTTCCACTTTAACATTTGAAGTCTCCTTTTCGATGTCACATGTCAGTCTGTTGTCTTAATTCCACCTCACAAGAATGCGAATAGTTTAGTCTTGCTTAAAATATGTCGTCGTCACTTGTGCAATTTTCATGCACGCAAGGCAGTTAATGCTCAAGATCTACGTCGGCTTCCCGATCGTCAGTGCAATGGAAAAATTTAAATATCGTAGGTATTTAAAATTAACAAGTTCAGGCAGCGGTCCTTTAGTCCCATGACAGCCATATGCAGCACAAGATGACCGCATTGACGGAAATTCAACACATAAACAATGTGTTAAATGGACAGACTTGAAACCCTCAATGAACTGCCGCCTTACTAATCCACGGTAATTTGAGCTTAACTGCTTTAAAAATGGAGAGCTGACTCTGTGAATCCATCCATCGATAATCTGTCCATCTAGCAGTAGTAGACATCTTTCCGTCCACGTGGTCAGTGGAACTCAAGTAATTGGTGGTGGTCACTGGTGACATCAGGCAGATGTATACTGCAGTCTCAAGGCAGGGAAATTTCCTTTAAAATGAGACCGTATATTTCCTCCATGCTATCCTCAGAGTGCCACTACTCCAAGTTAATACGTTCTATTTGCAAGATGTCTTAAACGTTTCTCTATCAATATTAGCATAGAATTGAGAAGATAAAGAGATAAAGAGTCTGATAATTATGCAGTATTCACCGTATCTCGACTATTTCAATTCATACATCCTGTTCCCCTGCTAAAGGCGCTAATCTGGCTGTCCTGTCCTACCATTCATAGTAACATAGTTCTCAAAGGTCTCAATTTATACCCTCTTTTTAGCACAGGCATCATTTGCTCTGAGCACCCGCCTACTCTACGACAGGAAACTAGGCGCATATTAATCAACTTGTGGCATTTAAGCTAGCCGAAGTTATTTCCAAAGTCTGCTATCGTCTACTCAGACATGAAAAGAATTTTATTCATTTTTCCACAATAGATTCGGTTCTCATTGTCCATTAAGCTTTCCTACCGTAGGGATGTAGGCTGCTGACTACACTCACAGTAAAATTGGCTGTGTCTGGCATATGTGTGCTACATGAAAAAGCATAAAGAGCCAGCACTTTTAAGGTTAAACTTAATAATTTTTGCTTTAATTCTGCTTATCCTAACATTGATTATGTACAGTTCCGCCTTGCATAAGCATTATCACTTGGAGAACATCAGTGCCAGCAACTGATTGAACAGCAAATCCTGTTGTTCCACATCTGCTGCTTTAACAAATTCTTGGCAACATCTGATTTATTGCTCCGAATAAGATTTTTGTCATAAGTTCCCTTTCAATGTGTTTTGATAAAATTGGGCCGTTTCACTTTTAAAGAAAATTAAATTTATACGGGTGACGCTGATTGAAATAGCACTTTTAGCTACCATGTTTTTAACTACG